TATATTGCCTCGGGGTCGGACCCCGGGGGGCATCAGGGGCGCATTCTACCAGGGGAACCGCGTCCTCCACAGCTTTACGTGGAGGAATGACGGTGGAAGACATATGCACGGCGGCATCTTGGTCTTCCCCCTGGTCTTTTATTCGCTTTTATCTGCGGGATGTGTCGCAGTTCTCCATGACTCACTCTGTTCTGAGTGTTCTGTCACAGTGATGTGTTCATTCCTGTCTCTACTTTGCTCCCCCTGTTGCAATGCGAGACTTCATCATTCCTCATGTGTTATTTCGTTTCTGCTCTTCATTCGGACTGTTACAGTACGTAACGCTCGTCTCCATTCATCACAGCAGGTTTGATTTCCCCCAACTTCTCCCTCAGTACATTCTGAGGAATGTGGACTGCGTTATTACGTACAGCGTATTGGTTGGGCGTGGATGGAGCTGTGGTTATTTCAAGTGGCGGGTATGTCTGTGCTTATGATCAGTGTGGAACCAGTGTGGCATAGACTATATCCTGCTACGCCCTTATCCCAATGAGATAGCTCTTAGAGGGTGGCCTACAGAAATAGAACGTTAGTTACGTATTGTAACTCCAGATTCTATGAGTATAGGCGCAGCCCTCTAAGCTAGGGGCCCCACTGGTTCCCTGTGGCTAAAAGAAAAGCCTCTCTTTTTTGGGAGCTGATTGTATGTTAACACGGATATTTATACACTGTGTAGGTGGGGCCCCCCGTGGGTGGGCGTGGACTATTTTTTGTCAGTACTGCGCAGGAGCGTGAGGGACAAACCCAATAGCGATAGCTCTTAGAGGGCTGCGCCTATACTCATAGAATCTGGAGTTACAATACGTAACTAACGTCACTTTCACTACCGGGGGGCAAAGAGGAGAAGAAGGTAGCAGAACACGAACAAGGGGAACCCACAAGCATCTCTGCTGTTTGGAGCAACTACAGGGAACCTATCAGCAGATGTAATGGTGGAGCTGAGATCCCTGTTCCAGTGCAGACCCTCTGAGCTGGTGGTTCAGTGTTCTTTCTACCAACCTCTAACACATAACGGCAGACTCGCCTGAATGCTGCTTTTCTTCAGCACATTTAATTTATATTGTGTTGTGTTTCACTGTATGCAGTTGCAAATTTTCCGTCACACGGGAATGTGTTTTTATTTTTGTATTTCATAAAATTAACACCCTGTTACACACAAGTGTATTAACAAAAACCTCCATTATAGCAAATATCATTTAACACTATTGGTAATCAATAAACATAGATATAATTTATGTATATGGAGAATTTTACTCAATTTGCCATTAATTTATTTAAGCAAAAAGGGCAGAGAGGCAACTCTTTAGTGAACCAAGACAAAAGAACTGATTCTCTAAAGCCTGAACTCCAATAAACACTGATCTTGTGACAACATAAGTTACAAATTCTCATAATAAATCAGGACTGTGCTCTGCAGATAAAGTGTGTGGCTCTTAAAAGAGCCTTTGGTTCGTTATCAGCGGGTCTGGATGAGCTTTAACCCCCCGAAGCCGTACAGGGTGCGGCCCTGCCTCTCCAGAGCGTACACCACGTCCATGGCGGTGACGGTCTTCCTCTTGGCGTGCTCGGTGTAGGTGACGGCATCACGGATCACGTTCTCCAGGAACACCTTGAGCACACCGCGGGTCTCCTCGTAGATCAGACCGGAGATACGCTTCACACCGCCACGGCGAGCCAGACGGCGGATGGCGGGTTTGGTGATTCCCTGGATGTTATCACGGAGAACTTTACGGTGACGCTTGGCGCCTCCTTTACCGAGTCCTTTGCCTCCTTTTCCGCGGCCAGACATTTTCTTACTGTCGGTTAGTCAACGGTGAATGAGTGGATGCTGCTCGACCGTCACTATTTACAGCCTGACTGCGGACGTAACAGAGGACAGGCAGCGGGTAGTAGGCAGCTTTACTTCTTTTATTATTTATTTATTTTAGGAATGATTGTGTTTTTATCTTCTTTTTTTAAAATAAACTTTATTGATATTTTACATAAAAATATTACATAATTATTTTCTGATTAATCGTCTCAGACTATCGGTGGACGTTCAGCACGTTGTTATGGAGGTCCGCACACTCATTTTATAAAGGTGTTATTTTCTTATTAAAGGTGGTGAATCTAACCAGTGCTTGAATTAATACAATATGTGTTACATTATAGGGGGACTGAATGTTTCCTTTGGGTTCCTGCTCATGTAGCAGTGGAAGGAAATGAGAAGGTCGATCTATTGGCAAAACAATCAATAACACATATTATTAGACTGCAGCAAATATGATCAATAAGTTGATATCAGCATTTAATGAGGGTTTTTATCATTAAGCTATAGCTCACACAGAGACGCAGTCGTTCAGAAGAACCTCAGCAGTTATAGAAATACAGAAAAACTGAACTTGGTAGGAAGAAGTTTTTGGACATAAAATTAGTTATTTTAGACAATTATTTTAATTTTTTGGGGGAAACCTTGAATCTGACTAATAAAGATAATTACAGATATTTTACCACAACTATAAAATATTCTCTTAGATAATTATGAATAGATTTGATTATATATTAGAGGAAAATATACACAGAGAACACAATGTGCAATTAAAGGACATAACGCAGAATAATCTTTCACAAACAAAATGTTTTTACATTATTGATAAAAACAATAAAGCTGGGATGTGATCCGATAAAAGTAAATAAACTGTAATTAATCAGTATTATAAATATTTATTGTCCACGAGCTCCTGTATACGTTTAATATTGTTTTAATTAAAACCTGCTGAATCACTCCGATACAGCAGGTGGCGCTGTGATCCATTTCCGTTGGTTTACGAACCGTCAATTGTCACAACGAAGAAGAAGCAGCAGCAGCAGAATAATAATAAGCCGAAGAAGACAATATTAGTGACTTATGTTAAAACTAGTTTTCTTTAAACGCGCCAGTGATTAAATCTCTCTGCGTCATGTTGTCACGGTGAGACTTGTTTACTTCAAACGCTCATAAACAGATTGTTCCTCTGAAGTTTGTTTATGTTTATTTCTACCGAGCTAACGCTAATGGGTGGGGTCTGCTAGCAGCGTTAGCATGTGGCTGCTAGCGGACACACACTGAGGGCTTCAGACATAAAGATAATATATAAATATAAATATAAATATAAAGACTTTAATGTGCTTAATCATTCACCGTGAACATGAGCTCCAATCTGCGGCCTCAGCTTCACTGTGCGTTTCTTAGTTAGCGCGGATCTAAAGTTGCGTTTCAATACCAAACTCCATTAAGAATTCTGACAATTTAAAGTTTACAAGAACAAACAAATGTCAGAAATATGAAATAAATACTTCATCTGAATCGGCGAAAGCTTATCTGAAATTCGGCATATATATTATACACAATAATACTCGTTTAATTAGATTTTAAACTTAAAGAAGTGGGTTGCTTGTCCTTTATTATTTGTCTCCTTTCGCTTAAATAAGACACAGATTTGACTGGAGCACCGTTTTAAACATTAGTGTGTGTTTATGTATTTATTTTATACTTAAGTTAAAACAGATGTCAATAACTAACATAATATATCAGCTTATAAGTACAGAAAGTATATTTGTGTCTGGGTTTATGTTCCATTGATTTAATATGTATAAAATCCTGGGTGTGTATTAGTCTGATGTTTAACCGCAATAGTCCAAAATCACCAACACAAAGAGCTTTATGGGTCCTTTATTTGCTCTGTCGTTAGTTTAGCTGCAGGTTAACATTCACACCTGTGTACAAAGCACATTTCAGTCCCAGTTGAATCTTTATGAAGCTGCTGTGTCCTGTAGAAAGCAGCTCCTGCCTCCAGAGGTCGCTGCAGAGAGTCTGATATACTCTACTGCTTTCTACCTGAACTCCACTGAACCTCAGAGGGAAATATTCTACTTTAGATTGTACAAAGGGAACTTTTTAAAATGTCCTTTAATCCATTAGTTTGAAATGTGAAGATTTGTAGATTTTTCCTTTAAATAATTTTAATAAATGTAATAAATATTTTACTCATCAAACACACTGTCACTCTTCTTCTCTCGCCTGCAGCCGACTATGGACGAAGTGAACGTTGTCTCTCTTGCTGTTGGAGGATGTGTGGACGCCTGCTGCCTGCTGCTCGACCTGGTCGTCAGGACGTTCAGCTGGCTGTGTCGCTTCCTGTCCGGCGCGCGGCGCTCCCTCCACAACACGCCTGGCCGTCCTGAGCGGCTCCTCTCTGGTCGAATGCTGGAACTTTGCTCTTTTCTCCTTCCTCGCCGCCACTGAGGCCGTCTCCAGCGCGCCGCCTGCGGGAGCGCTGCAGGTGTGGAGGGCTGGCTGCAGACGCTGGGAGGAGTGTTTGAGAGTTTCAAGATGGTGGGACACCTCTCCTGTCACGTGGCGTGGCGAGTCAGGAGGACGTGCTTCACCGTGGGTTTATTTCAGGGAGCTGCGTCCTGCGAGCAGACGTGCGAAGGCCTCTGCATCGCGCTCAGCCTCGTTCTCTACTTTGTCAACACGGTGGTCAACTATCGTCCTCATCGGCACGCAGAACTGTCTGTCTGTGTTGGCGGGCGTCTGGGAGAGGTGGTGGCGGACCCCGTGCACAAAGTGTTGGAGCTGGCTCTGACTGCGCCTGACCTTCCTGTACAGTTGTCTGGTCGGTGCCTCGGTGCTGCTGTGGGCGCCCTGCCAGCTGCTTCTGGACTTCCTGGGAGCGTTGGGCCGTGTCTTCATCACTGTGTTCATGGTGGACTCACACGGCCTGCTCATCACCGCGTTCATCATCTCAGTGGCTTTGCTGTTACTGAACCCCAGACTTCCTGTCCTCGCCGGACGCCTCAGCCTCCGTTTGGTCAATGCTCTCCTGGGAGCGTGGACGATACTCGAACAAGCTGTGGCCAATCGGGGCGGCACACAGTACAACGAGGCTCCCGCACACCGACGCTTCAGTCGCTGAGACCGACCTGCCGCCAGCGAGTGAACCGACCCAGCCAGACCCTCCGCAGCTCAGGATCAGCTGGACGACGAGTCAGCGAGCGTCAGCAGCAGGATTGGTACATCGCGGCTGAACTGTACTCCGGTGGACGGCGACAGCTCTTCGACTGACAGCGAGCTGCTCAGCCTGCTGAAGGAGCAGGAGGAGAGGAAGAAGTGCGTCATCTGTCAGGACTTGAGCAAGACTGTGCTGCTGCTGCCCTGCCGTCACCTCTGCCTCTGCCGGCACTGCGCCGACATCCTGACCCAGCGCCGACACGTCCAGCAGCGCTGCTGTCCGCTCTGCCGGCAGTCCATCACGCAGACCCTGGACGTCTTCCTCTGACGGCCGGTGGACCAGAGATACAAGCTGCAAACTGAAGCACACGAAAAGCAGAATATCTTGGATAATAACGGACTCTCTGCGATATAGTTGTTTATTTCTGTAAAATAATTAATAGTTGGTCAGTGTCAAACTCATGGACATATAAAAGATGGACGTCGCATCTCCACTTCCTGCCACTGTTCAAATATGAAACCAAAATATCCCGAGCCGGGCTCAACTGAAACCGCCTTCAAATGACAGATTAAAAACAAACTTGAACGACCTAAAACGACAGGAACCATCTGTGGATGTGATGCACTGTGATGGTTTTTTAGGCTCTGTTTACACAGAAAGTGGAGCTTTTTTAAATGAAAATGTTTTGCATTTTAATAAAAGCTCTGCATCCTTAATTTATCTGATGTTGCATCTGCCACCAGGAAGCAGTCGAGATATTTTGGCTTCACTTTAGGGGAGTTGTCGTTTCGTGTGTCTTTATATATGTCGATGGTCTTTAGTGAACTGTGCCAACTAATACTATGTGTCTTTATTCTTTGTTCAGGAAACATTTCTAACTTTACTCAACAGTATTTGTGTGCGCTGACGTTTAATCTTAAAACCGAAATATATTTATCTTATTTATGTTTGCCATCAGCTTTAAAAAGCCAAAACAACAGAGAAGCTGTGAAGTCTCTTGATATGTAAGAAGTTCATAGCTGCTGATTATTACTGGATTAATACAGCCGAGGATTTGTGCCAAAGACTTTGCTGCAATTGTTTTTGTACTTGTGTAAAAATCAGTGCCTGAATTGAACCAAAAAAGCTGCCAGTACCCCGTTCAGTTCAACCCTGTACAGTTTATTTATTTATTTATTATCTACTAGGGATGTCACGAGAGCCGATAGTTCGCTACCAAGTCGATGCCAAGATATTGAAAACCTGCACACTCACTACGCCACTGCAAGTGCAACAGAGTCTCACAAACAAGTAATTTAGCAACGTAACCCGCTCACAGGATGTACAGACGAGGAAAAATGAACAGCAGGATACAGCTGGTTCAGGTAACTCAGGTAAAAGATGAACTGAAGCAACAAACTCTGCAGGACAGCTTTAAAGAGAAATTCCTTCCAGATCTGAAAAGATTACAAAGAGAGTTTGTTAGGCTATTTTAAAGCCAACTAGTTATTTAGTATAAAACATATATGAAATAAGTTGCATTAATAATAATACAATATGTATAAAACATTAAGGAACAGCTTGATTGCTTTTGTTAATTCACTGCGGAGCTTTTCATCTGTATTGGATCGGAAAAAAGCTCCGAGTGGGACATTTTTTATCGTGGTACTCAATTGGTATCGAGAATTTCATCTGGTATCGTCCCTAATATCTACCGTAGACGTCCTCATTAGTGAGTATGGCCGCGGGGTTCTCAGTACCGGTGAGTACTGGCCCATTTCAGGCACTGGTAAAGTGTATGTAAGGATGTTTTGTTCATATTTTAATGTATTTAAAAAATATAAAAGTCATCAAATATGTGGAAGACTGAATATCTGCACTGGATGTTTAAGTTGATTTAATTTTATAATTTTGAACATTTTTAATTAATATAACATGCCTTAATTAGTTAATGGTAGATTTATTTAACAGATAATAATTGAATTATTAAACAGGGCTTTATTTTGTTCTCATTCTTACAAATCCTAAAATATCCTAAATAGGAGTTTTCAAACGTTCTCCACACCAAAAGAGCAGGATTTCCCAAACAAATGTTCATCTTTAGTTTTATTTCTCTCACACAACTCATCCAGCATTCGTCCTCCCAGATGTCCACTCTTAGTTTAGCTGCACAAGATTTATTGTGTGTGGACAACAATGTGCAGACAGTTAAGCTACAGTCTGTGATTTCTGCCACTGGGGGTCTCTCACATTAAAACAATAAGAAAAATATAAAGTGTGATGAGGTGGTGAAGCAGCGTGGGATCATGGGAGTTGTTGTCTTCACCACCATTGGCGTCATTGCAGTCAGCTTCTCCCGGTTAGGATTCCTTCAGTGTTCGTGGTTCAGGAGGTTTCTACCGGGAGCCCAATGATCCACAGAGGTCTCCTCCTCCTTCAGTATGATATTGAAAGTTGAAACCACACAATAAAGAAATGTCCACACAGTATTATAATTGTATGTTTATTATTTTATTATAGACAAAAGCATCAGAAAAACGTATCACTTTCAAATTTGAAAAGAAAAGCTACCTGTATGTTAGATTGCTTTAATAATAATAAAAGATTTTCATTTGTATAAATTGATGTTGCACTTCTCTGTCATCCAGCTTTTATATAAAGGAAAATCAGAAGTTCACTATACATTACTACAGTGATTCAAGATTATCAGATTACATTTGAGATCAGTTCAGAGGAAGAACTGTTCAAGAGTTTAAAGGAAAAGAGGAAGAGTTTCTGTCTTACATGGTGAAAAGCAGATGACCACTGAAGGCGGTATATTGATGACTATTATCGTACACCTTTGTATTAGCCAACAGACGCAGAAACACAACCATCTCCAACCTCTAGGAGCAGTGTAACCCCCCATAGAAGTAGTCCCATAACCTGATGTCTGATGTTCATATGCAGTCACAATTTCTTGCAAGTTCTTGACCAACACAGCTCCTGAAGCCTGGTGACCTCCATATGTTCCTATGTACCACTCGAAGTGGTAGGCTCCTCTCACTGGTGCAGTGAAAATACCTGTTGAACATTTGTTTTTAGTCTTTTTAAATGAAAATTAAACTGTTGCAACATTAGACATCAGCATAGGTAAAAATAACAGAGTTCAGGTACCTGTGTGTGGGTTGTAGGCCTTTCCAATGTTTGTATCGACATGTTTGAAGATCAGAGTAGTGAATGTGGGAAAGGGTCCGACATATCCGCTGCCTGTAGCCAACAGAGAGGCTGAGAAAGCCACCTGCCCAACTGAGAGAGAGAGAGAGCAATATATATACACCGATCAGCCACATTAAGAAGAAGAAGATATACTTTATTAATCCCCAATGGGGAAATTCTTTTTCACTCTTACTTTACACACTGGCCTGAAATAAAATCATGCATATGGAGGGCTTATAGACATGCAAATGTGGAGAGATGGTGGAGTGATGGGCTGCCATGTAGGGACACTGTGAGCAGTTAGGGGTTGGGTGCCTTGCTCAGGGGCACATCAGCAGTACACTGGAGGTCTAACTGACACCTCTCCAGATGATCTGACCCAGTCGTCCATCACAATGTGGTTCTTGTCAAAGTCACTCAGATCCTCACGCTGCACATTTTTCTGATTCTAACACTTCAACTCTGAGGACCAAATGTTCACTGTCTGCCTGATATACCCCCCCAATGACAGGAGCCCTGATAACCAGATAATCAGTGTTCACTGTCAGTGCTCATAATGCTATAGCTGATTGGTGTGTGGGGTGGTGGGAAATTTTGATGTACCGCCACAAAACACGAATTCACTATAACTTGAGTGTACATTGTCCAATCGGCTCCACACTTCAAATGCTTGATAACAGTCCCGCCCTGAACACGTGTACAAGACAATATTCAGACATAGTGATAGCGCCACCTACTGGCAATAGGAAGTAAGCGCTGCACGGCGATTTTGAGCTGAGTTACATGAAATGACCGTGCCAGTGACGATTTGTCGAATTCACCGGATTCGCCACAAAACAGCACTCATAACTTCAGTGTGCAATGTCCAATCTCCAATAAACTTCATATATTCTGTAACAGTCTCGCCCTGAACACGTCCTCATAACTTCAGCGTACGTGGTCCAATCTCAGTGAAACTTCACGTGTTTGATAACAGTCCCACCCTGAACACGTCTACATGACAATATTCAGACATAGTGATAACGCCACCTACTGGCAACAGGAAGTAAGAGCTGCGTGGCGATTTTGAGCTAATTTACGTGGAATTTTCATGATGTGGTCCGCACGTGTTACGATGGCACGCGACGTGGGCTGCAGCAGTGGAGTGCGAGGTCCCGCCCAACGCTGCTTGCAGCTTTAATGTTTTTTTGTATTTTAGCATACATTAAATTTTGAACATATTTCAGATTTAAAAGATTTAAATATTGAATTGCTAATTTTGAAAAACAATCTCAAAATTAAAGCTGCAAGCAGCGTTGGGCGGGACCTCGCACTCCACGCAACTCGGGGCATGCTGCAGCCCACGTCGCATGCCGTCGTAACACGTGCGGACCAAAACATGAAAATCTCACGTAAATTAGCTCAAAATCGCCGCGCAGCTCTTACTTCCTGTTGCCAGTAGATGGTGCTATCACTATGTCTGAATGTTGTCATGTAGACATGTTCAAGGCGAGAGTGTTATCAAACACGTGAAGTTTCATTAAGATTGGACCACGTAAGCTGAAGTTATGAGGACACTGTCACTGGCACGCGGTTTGATGTACAGTCACAGCTCAACTTTTCAATCAGTTTGTTGGACGACAGAATTCAAAAATCGACAAGATGCCACAGACACGCCGTTCAACGTACAGTCTAATAGCACAACTTTTAATGAGCACCATTTTTTGAGTGTACTCACAAATTTTGAAGCAGATCCGATAAATTCCCTAGGAGGAGTTCGTTTCAAAATACAATGCGAAAAGTTCGCCAAAGTGAAAATCAAAATCAAAATGGTGGCGATGGCCTGAAACTGTGCAAGATGCCTATGGAAGACATGGGGAACTATGGACTCAAGCTTGGTTTCAATCGGACATACCAATGTGGAGAAATGGTCCACTTCCTTTTTTGACAAAAAATTCACAGGAAGTACTAATTTTATAACGTGCTGGTTTTTGAAATATCAAAATTCTTTTAATCACTTTTTTTATTATGAGGCTCCTCAGATGCTACGTGAAAAATTTTGTGCGAATCAGACAAAGCGCATGGGGGAACACGGAGTAGGAGTAGTTTGGAGTAGATGGAGTAGTTTATGAACATTTCGTGCTCTAGTGGAGAAAAATTCTAGGCGGAAGTGGGCGTGGCCTATATCGGAAGATTCAGCTCTATTCACCAA